ATAATTTTCACATTCTTTACATTCTAGAAACAGGTAATACAATACATGGGTATGACCTTGATCTTTCACCTGGCACTTGTTAACACCCTTTAAATAAATGAAGCAAGTACAGGTATCCCCCGCTTTTTAAAAGCTCGCTTTATGCCACTTCACTTTTACAAAAGACATGTTAATACACCTGTTTTTGCTAACTGAAAGAAATCTGAAATTTTTCACTTTTCAAAAAAAAAATAAGGCAAAAAGTGCAACAAGAGTTCGGTGTGTTTTGAGTAAGATGTTAATAGAGGCAGCTCATTTGAACTGTATCTGTGAGCATCTGTGCTTTATCTTGATTTATTTTGTGCATTTATTTTTATGAAAGAAGCCATTTTGGCTTACAAAAGTGTTCATAGGAAGCTCTACTTTGGAGGGGGGTTACTTGTACTACTTTTGAACAATGAAACAGAGTCTTTATTTAATTGCATGGAGAAGAGCAACTGAAATGGCTGAAACAATGGAAGAGAGAAACTACATTGGAAGAACAAGCCACAAAGCGTGGACCCTTCAGTTTGTCAAGATATAGACTAGAAAGCACACTCACACAACACAGAAAATTATAAACCGTGTGAGTAAGATAAAATGGATTTGTTAACTAAGCTCAAAAGGCTAGTATAAGGAGCACTTTCTGAAACTTAAAGGTAAGTACTATAAATAAGAGGAAATACAACCTCACAGAGCAGGTCTCTTATTCTTTCAATCAACTCTCATTGAAGACACTCTACTAATTGCAAGGAATCAGAAATGAGTAACATAATCTGTGTCCTTAAAGAGCTGTTATTAGAGTAAGATAAACAGGCATGTAAACAAATAGTTACATTATAGTATAATCTAAAATTAGACAATAAACAGGAAGCTATGAAAAAGCTGGGGCTTCAGTAACTGTTCTGCCTCATTATGGCGTGGGTAGGCAGAAATGGTGGTTGGGGATGGCTCAAAGAGGTAGTAAAATTTGACTTGAATTGTGAATGAGAAGTTGAAGGACAGGGAAATTGCTGAGCCCCAAGCAGCTTTGCAAAGGCTTGGGTGTATGAACACGCATGCTCACGCTCCCAGTGAAGGCATGCCCTCCCAGCCTTCTGAATCCTGGAGAGATGCATAAGTGAGCAGTAGCCAGAAGCCGTTGAGCCATATATTCAGGACCAAAGACTGTGCTTCTTTCCGCCCATCCTCCCCTTCTTCATCTATTTACTTTCAAGGTCATTAGAAACCCAAACTTCTCAAGTCATTGACTGACATAGAACACTCATTCCAAATCTGATTCCATCTCCCATTCTCTCCTTTCCTTCCAACCGCTTTGTCCTTTGCCCTGTGTAATCCTGAGTTCCTAAACCCCAAATACTTTAGGACCAAGAGATAGGTGTCTTCCTTGCTCCATTTTGCTGCATCCAAACAAATTCTTTTCCTTCCTCCTTCGAAAACTAGAATTCCTTAGAAGTTAATGACATCAGGCTGTATTACCTAATATACACGTTTGTTGTTATTATCTACTGACATCTTGGGAACGCCACCTGATTCAGGAAAGGCTTTGGTGTTGGGCTCACTGAATTCCTCTCTTTCCTACCCCATCATTATTCTTAATGACATCCACACTCATATGGCTCACCCCAGCAACCGCCTAGCTTATTGGTTCTTTGATCTTCTCACCTCCAGGCATGTTTTCCTCAACCCTATGCTAACTACCTACAGTCATCTTATCTCTTGTTTTCTTCATAGCACTCATGATCTTCAATCATTTTATATTTTTGTTCATAGTCAATTTTACCCACTAGATGATCTGTAAGAAATGGGACATTATCTGCTTTACTCATCCTTATTCCTAGCCCTTAGCATTGTTTGGGTGCACAGATATTGGATTTGTGAATGAATGGACTACAAACTTTGTGTAGGAAAATATTCAGAGATACAGTAATAATGATAGGCAGAGGAAAGCTCTTAAAATACATCATGAGCCACGTAAAGAGTTGGGATTCGCCCTCAGGACATATAGGAGCCTCCAGAAGATGTCCCCCAAGAAATAGGAGAAAACGTATATTCCAACAAAGACTTGTACTCTTCTGTTTCTTTCTTTCTTTCTTTCTTTCTTTTTTAGCTGAGCCATCCTGCCACCTGTTGGCAGCTCAGCGGCTACTCAGCTCGGGGCCGGGCATCGAACCGCTGTTGCTCAGAGCTCGCACTCTTGAGGGAGCTCTTAACCGACTGAGCCACTCAGCCAGCCCTGTACTCTACTGTTAATAGCAGCTTTATTCCTAATTACCAAAAACACTGAACATATCCCCAATATCCATCAACTGTTGAAGAGGTAAACAAATTGTGGTGTATCTGTAAAATGAATTACTGCTCAGCAGTAAAAATCAATTAACTCGTGTTCCATGTAACAACATGGATGAATCTCAAAAGCACTATGCTAAGCGAAAGAAGTCAGACACAAATTATTACACACTGTATAATTCCATTTACATGAAATTCTAGAAAAGGGAAAACTATCATGACAGAAACCAGATCAGTGGTTGCCAGGTACCAGGAAAGGAGGCAGGGATTCCTTACAACAGGGCACCAGTTAACATTTTAGGGTAATGGAAATATCTATATCGTAATTATGGTGGCAGTCACATTTGTCAAAACTCATCTAACGTACACTTAAAATTAATCAATGTTATTGTATGTAAATTATACCTTAATAAGCCTAATTAAAGATGGATTTACAAATTTATAAATATTATAAATGGCTACTAAAAGAAAAG